ATTTTTAAACATCTGGTATTTTTACATATATTGTTATGGCTGTATTGATTTAAAAAAAAAAACAATAATGTGGTGGGTCCAGCAGACCGCTGAGTAACAAACACATCAACACCACTCAAGGGGTAAAAACAAAGGTACCAGAAAGGTTGCTTTGGGGTGATGCCCTAGAAGAACCACTTTTGGTTCCTTTGTGAAGAATCATTTCAAAGTTTTAAAAAGTGTACATGCTCTACTCCACATGTGTCAGGCTCCAGTCCTCGCGGGCCAAAACACCGCAGACGTCAGACACTGCCTCATTAAACACACCTGATTTAGCTCATTAGCTACTTAGCCAGGCCTTCATGAACTGAACTCAGAGCATTAAATGAGGGTAAATGCTAATCTCCACAGCACTTTGGCCCAAAAGCCACCAAGTTTGACATGCCTGCTCTACGCCAAGTAAACTTTTCCCATACCTGTAAGTTCAATCTAAAAACCATTAGGAACCTTACACTGTACTAAACTGTCACTGGGGCAGTTCTCCTCTTGTCACTGGGGCAGTCCCCTCAAGGGTCCATCTCAGTACCTTTAGTCAGGGAATATAACTGAACCATAATCCACTGAAATGATATGTTCTAAGATGTACTGACTCCACACACCCCGTCTCGTCTCCAGGCTTTTATTTTACTGTTCTGTTTAAAACATTCGGTTATGAAAAGGTACAAATACGAACTTTTCACCTGGAAAAACTTATTAAAGGTTCACAATCAGACCTTAAAGCCACTGTTGTAGCTTTGAGGGAACATTTACACTGTTTGTACCTTGATGAACGAAAAATGTACCTGCACAGAACCTTTATTTCTAACAGTGTTGGGGTTTATATTCAAGAACAACTGACCCAATACTATGAGGAACAGTTACTCTAGGCAGGCTTCCTTTGGCCTTTTACAAAGGGTGAAGAAACATCAGTCTAACCAAGCAGTCACTTCAGGTTTGTGAAGTTCATAGATTTAGGTTTTTGTTGTTATTGTTGTTGTTGAGGATCAGATAAACAGGCCATGTTGACTTCTGTGTGTTTTAACTATCTGTCTTGTCCTGTCAATGAACTTCGACTGTAGACTTCCTTATTAGTGTACGCTTCACATTTCACATATGACAACATGATTGTTTACAGTTTCCCATTATACATTTTTTAAAAAGTCCTGTTCCTGTTCATGCTAATCCAAAACATATTTGATTATGTTTCAGTGGTGATTCAATCATTTCAGAATGAGATCAGCATCTCCATGTGTTCTTCATTATTTTGCCTGACCGATTTTAACTTCCCTGCTATAAAAATTAAATTTAGGCCTGACGAAAAAAAATGAAAAAAGTTATATAACCAAAAAACTTTTAAAAATATGAGGCGACTGACATTATAATACAGGAAATCTCTTACTTCGGTTAAAACCATCTAAGCTGTCGCATCGTGACGAGATTAGGTAGTCTCAGATTTGTCTACCTAGAATGGGTCGTCTCTGAGGAAAAAGCCATTTTCAAGATCTGGCCCTCTGGACAGTAATTTCCGGCCTTTTCTGTTAGAGTAGCTGACCAAAAAACGGATGGGTGTAGTAATCCTCTTACTTTAGGCTCTCATCTCCCATGACATCAGAGCATTACTCTCAAAGCTGCCTCGTCATGCTACAGCCAGGCGGATTAAGACGTGCATTAGATAAGGATAAGGTGTGAATACCCTCTAAACAACAGTCCAAACAGGACAGTGGCGCTTTAAACATTAGCCTTCAGGCTTACTTGCCAGTCTTGCTAAAACAAAAGCCGGCAGGGTGTGAACCTCACACCAAAACGCCCTTGTTACCTAAATAGCAAACCATGTCATTTTGAGAGATTGCTGAAGCCACACTTATGAAATAGAGAGATAGGAAAAGGATGCTGGGCTGGGTTTGACCCCATCTTCCTTCTGTAATGTGAGAACATTTACCATTTCAGAATAGACACAATGGTTACTCTTCATCCTGAGACCTTGTTAGAGATTTTACTTAGAGACTTTGTCCAGATCGGTAGCTTAATGAGTGTGAGCGTCTATGTGCGTGTCAATATAAGCGCTTACGTTTGTAGGATTTGTCGCATGAGATTATTTTTGCCTCTTTGTGTCAGAGATGGGTGTGGCTGATGTACTAAGCCAGCCATTGTTCCAAAAAGGTTATTCACTGACAGGCGATTAAAAATGTTTCCTCTGTCCATTAATTTTTGCCGTCACCTTTTAACACAGTCGCTATTAAAAAAGTCGGAGAAGTAGCCAGTAATAACATGCTGTATTTTTTATTTTTTCCAGAAATCATTAACTTGCAATTCTCAACTGCCAGCAAAATGATTTCCTCAACAAAATCTCTCTGAGCCCTTTCAATATGGCTTTCACACACATCACAGCACTACATCTGCTCACTTTGAGAGTTGCGAGATCCCCTCAGTGATGCTTTCAATATTGTAAATTACAAAAACAGTTCAGATCGTTCAGATTATACATTTCCAACAAAAAAACAGTTTGTTCCTTTAAGTAAATCATTTGCTGGCCCCGTCACTCGAGGTGTGCCCCAAGGGTCTGTTCTTGGCCCCCTTCTTTTTATTTTTAATGTGTAGCACATTGGGCAAATGATCAATAGCTTTCATTGTGATATTCAGTGATATAGTTACACCAGTGTTCCCAACAATACTGCTACTTTTGAGATAGATTTTGACAGGATTATTTGCTGAACTGAAGCTTGAGAATAAGAACTTTCTTAAATTAGTTACAGACTTCACTGAAGTTCTACTGGGCCCCAAATCTCAAATACCCAGATTGTCAGTTTATTTCTATTGACAGTAATGGTGGGGCAGTAAAGAAGATTCTATATTAATTTACCAAATAAATCGATAGTAAATAAATAATGTATGATTGGTGTTTCAACGCAGTTCAGAGGTACAAGACTAGGATTTTGTGTTGTTTTGAAATGGCTGATCTTATCAATAGGTTGAGGTTAAGCAGTGTTTTGGTCCTTTCCTCCCTCCCTCCCTCGGTTGCCTCCTCCCTCTATGGCTCATGACTAATGGAGAACAACAAACAGAGATCCCTTCTTTGAGACACAATAGGTCAGGGTGAAAGGAGGGGTAGGAGGCAACATATGCCACCAAAATCAACCAGATTTAACTGGAGCCATTTATGACTAAACAACATGCCTTAAGACTTAATCTGATTATATCATAATCTGATCATTTTTATATTCTTTGTTTTGATAGAGGTAGGCCTAACGTAACATAACAACGTGCAAGTTTTAGTAAAGAGAAGAGGTCAGTGGTGTAAACAGCTGGGAAAAGGCTTTTTCATCCAACAGCCTTTCCAATGTCAGCATAAGTTCAGGCACATTTGTGCGCTAAAAGCCGTGATCAGCTGGAGGCTATCACTGCCAGGCGTTGTGCTAATTTGCAAGCTGAGAATATATGAGCCTTCGAAGGCGCTCTTCCCTGCCATCGTTCATGGCACCCAGGGCAGCCTTTAGAACACTGCTGTTTGCCCAAACACTAAGCGCGCTATAGTTGTCACACTTTTCCCAAACGCCTTGCAGCTGCTCCTATTGTGCTCAGAGAAGGGCCTCGCCAAGTAGTCGTCCAGACCGCTCCGGCCAGCCCTCCCGCCGCCTGACAGGGATCAGAGGAGCTAGCTGAGACTCTGTGGCCCAAACAATAGGGGACATTGATAATGATTCTATACGGTGTAACCCCAACCAACATCGCCAATGTGAAATTCCAACGCACGGTTAAAGGCAGGGCAGAGTGCCGCTACATATGGCCGGGTAGGTTTGAATATGAAAGGGTTGTTCTTTTTTCCCACCGATATTTAAGCACTAGCTGCGGCCTTGTAAACAAACAAGGTCAAAACTTACTTTCTGACCAGCTGGGAATATTTGTTTACAAGGTTGTGATATAATATCGTCACTGTCGAGACCTTGTATCTCATTTTTTGTAGGTTTAAAACATTCCAACTGCCCTTTACACTGTGTGAAAATATCAGAATGAGCAAATAGAAATGATCCGTAATTACTTGGAATAAAAATCTATAAAACTTTTAAGTTGACTTTCATTCAAAGAGTTTTCCTTCTTCTGTAAAGTTGCCATCCAAACAGTGAAATTAAAGGCATTTATAGTTGCTGTCATGCTTTTGGACACATTGTATCACCAGAATGGTAACTATACAGGAAAAATTCATTCTGAACGTAATACAAATCAATGTTTTAATTAGTTATTTTTGATATTTTCTATTGGTCTCTCCATCATGACATTTTACCCAAAGTAAAGAGCAGCTAATATTTTCAGATTATGGCTAAAAGGCCAAAAATGTAGATACAAGGTTTTGTTCCAACAGCGATATAAAGCGTAGGTTTAAAACCATTTAAAACAACCTACATATAATCAACATAGAGTTAAACCATTACTGTACACTGTAATTATACAACAGACATTTCTCACCACTCCCATAGATCTCGTGATCAGAGTCCACATGTATCGAGTTTCTCAGCTTGCTCTTCTGGACTCCGCAAGCAGTTGACGACTTGCTGACACTTGATACAGAGTGGGCTCTGACCCAGAGGCCTTTTTCCAAGACTGTGTTTACCCAGAGATTTCATTTCAAAACTAGGAGGTTTAAGTTTCAAAAACAAAGTCAAATGGTCAGGCAGGCCTACACGTACCACATGTGCCACATGGAGTGTTCTGCCAGTGTTACAAAGGGGAAATATTTAATCTTATCTACTCAGCAATGATGTCTAACATTTCCAGCCTAGTGGTGAGAGACTTTAAACTCCTAAATCCTTTCTAAGATGCCAGTATTTACTTAATAATTCTCTGGATTGATGTGGTAGAAATGTTTAAGACCACAACTTCCATCTACTATTACTTTAAATTCAGTATGTACTCTCAGTATTTCAGTGTCTTTATGTTTAAATTGTTAAAATGCAAATGTCACACCAAGTAAACCACAATCACATCACTATTGTAACAAAAATTCATTTATTCGTCAGTATCAAAACATCTTATCACAAACATGTAAAAATATAACATAAGAAATATATTAATTTAGGAAATAAATATCACATATCAAAACAGTCTCCTGGAAGTCACTCCCATTAGTGCTTGAGGGAGGGTTCTTACAGGGCTGCCAACAAACAGACACATGAGGTATTTCGTGCTTGCTTACAAGAAACAAACGTCTTGGTGAGTTGGATTAAGTTCTGAAAGGCATAAATGGCCCTTGAGCGAGCCATACGTTTAACTTTCATTGTCTTAAGGCAGAGCTAGTCTAGCCAGAGATGATAAATACATTCATTGTTCAAGAACCGAAAAAGGAAACCAAAGAGGGGGCATTCACTCAGATTAGCACCTTCAAGCCCATCAACACATGGTCCCCTCAGACTACTTGTGTTTGCTAAAACAAAAACAAAAACAACAAAGGGTGTCTAACAAATAAAAGCTAACTTTTCCTGAGCAAACTGTAAGACCTGCTGCTTTATTGGTGGTAATAAATAAAAACACAACGTGATTATCAGTTGCGACACTCGAATTCCCGGAGACTGATATACAAAGACATTCAAGAGCCTCGTGTGTGTTCCACTAACAAACACGCACACTAACGAACGCCCAACCCCTTCAGCTCAGTCAACACGAATGACTGCCGTCTTGTGTTCAAAACACAGCCAGTCCGCAAGAGCGAGGTTGGACCAGCCACCTACTCCTCTCCAGAAAGCTGTGCAAATACTGTTGTAACAAGAGGAATAAGGTATTGTAATTGTCCAGAAATGCAAAGACCACCAGAGTGATCATCTGAACCAAGAACGTCCTGCTTGTCAAAACGTCCCGTCAGCAGGTGGGCGAGGGGGTAATGGGACTGTGCAGGAAGGAGAGTGGGCTGGCCGCAGCGTGGACGGGGATGGAGACAGGGAAGTTGAAAACGGTGCTGCTCTTGCTGAGCGCAGGGCTCCCTGCCTCCGAGGAGCATTTGGACGAGGCCAGAACCTGCGACTCGAACTGCAGCAGCTGGCCCATGAAGCTGAAGTTGGGGGAGATGATGCTGCGCCGCTGCTTGACAAACTCGAAGGCCTCGTCCAGCTTGACCCGGTTGGTGCGCATCAGGTAGGCCAGGCATATGGTGGCCGACCGCGAGATGCCGGCCTGGCAGTGGACGAAGACACGGCCACCTTTGTTCCGTACTGAGTCTGCGTGAAAAAGACGGAGGACGTTAGTTCAAATCTACACAAAAGGCCTCAACACAGAGCATCACATCAGGTAAGTTGGACAAAGATATAATGTTGTTATTTCTGGTATAAAATACAGCTTCGTCTAAAGACCTCAGAACCCTAAGCTGAAAATGGCTAACGGCAACTCCTTCCCCGTCGCATTTGCCTCCCTCCACTTTCAATTGCAAATCATAAACCCTGCAGTACAGCTAACGGAGGGAGCCGTCTCATTAGGGAAACAGGAAGAAGTTAAATGAGGGCTGTGGGGTGGGTGATGGGGTAGCACTCTCTCAGTGGCAGGTCTGAATACACAATGTGGGGTGGCTGCCCCCCTGCTGTGAGCATTGATCTGGGGAGGAAGGCCAGTCGAGAGCCAGAGAAAACCCTCTTTTGTTTGACCAGAACAAAGGGAGCCAGGCAAGCAAAGAGAGCCAGTTGCTCCCTAAAAAGCAGATCGGGTCGTGGCCGGCTGCTTTCCATGAAAAGGGGGCACCTCTTTAAATGGGATGAGAGGGGATGATGTAAGCTATTGTAGCTGTCAAGCTTGGTCCATCCAGCTGGTCGATTTGGAGGGAACTTTTGAAAAATTTAATTCAGGCCTCACTCGGGGAGGGGGGCGGGGGGGTTTGCTCGTCAAAAACCCTCCTATAGCAACATCTGTTCTTGTTTTGTAACAGAGAATCAAATAATAGTGGATAAGAAAAAATTCTCACCGATAAATTCAATGGCCTCATTGAACCAGGAGCTGATGTCAGCCTTGTGGTTATCTTCAACCGGAATGCTCTTGTACTGATAATGGTCCTCGAAGTGGTTTGGACAGTTGGCAGAAACGTTTATGAGGGCTGTGATCCCTAACATGTCCAGCATGTCTTTTCTAGAAGCATGGTAGGCACTGCCAAGGTAGAGAAAGGGTAGGATTTCCACAGGGCCGCCCTAAAAAACAAGATTGAGGGAAGGATTAAAGATGGTGAACGTGAATCAAACCGAAAAACAAAACTGAAAGTGTTCCTCGGGTGAAGTAATTCTTGACAAAATGGCCTAATGAGCCTTTTGCCACGCTCTTACCTGATCATACAGAGGGGTAGCGCATGTATTACAACCGGATCCAGCACTGTCAGGGTGGCAGCTGGCACTCAGAGGCAGACTGAGTCCCTGAGGGGGGGCTGGTTTGGTGCACATTTCAGGGAATTCAGAAGCGAATGTGTCAAATCCACCTAAAAATAAGAGAATTAAAAAAAGACGACGTTTAATTACATCGCATAATTTACAAGTGTCAACTGTGACTGACAGTTGTGGTGACACAAAGGGTGAGAGAACAGTTGAGAGGGGCAACAGCTGAAGTAAACATTGGAGTGCAGTTACCGTACAAGGCCAGAGAGCCACAAATAACCCAGAGGCTATAAAGAAGGCTAACATGAGCAGAGGTGGGTAGTTACTACTCACATTTATTCAGTGCCATATAGCTAAATAAGTAAATTTGATTGGTTGGTGCTCAAATAATACTTTCTATGTATGTTTAATGTAAGTATACGTGTGAGGAAACAAGCCAATCTTTTCTATTTAGTTCCTAATTCCTTCTTTGGGTTCTGTTCAAGCTTCAGCATTTTACTTCAGTTAAAAATCCCCTTCCTATGTAGATAACAGACGAAATTTACCTCAGATACGAAGCTGAAGTTAGCTAGTTAGCTTCCTATGCCCCAGCTTATTGTTCGAATTTCCCTGAGGCGCCACAATGTAAGTGCTGCTCCATTTAAGGTGGACCGGGAAATTTCGAACAAGAAGCTGGCGAGTAAGAAGCTAAACTTCAGCCTCGAAGTATTTTAGGTGAACCATAATTTCATTTAAGTAACAGAATTAATTTTAGTTTTGTTTTAAGTTGCTTCATCCACCTCCAAACACAGGTTAAAGCCAGAGGTGTAAAAATCAGGTCCAGAAAGTTAAAATCCTTCCCGGGATTTGGTTCCAACTGCCTGGACAGCTTCGCTGGTGGTTTGATCTAACTAGAGAAGCCAGGCCGTTGGAACAAAATCCTGGGACGGATTTTTACTTTCTGGACCTGGATTTTACACCTCTGGTTAAAGCGGCTTCGCTAACTTTAGCTAACGCTTAGTTCGTTTAACCTACCTTTCAGGAAGACCACGTTAGCTCCGCACGGGTTTCTGTACAGCGCGGTCACGGCCAGCATCAGGGTCCCGTCTTTCTTGGTCTGGGCGATGTCGGAGCTCCTCTCGTCGAGAAGCACCACGGTCCGGTACCGGCCGGACAGAAGCCCGCTCCTCGTGTCCTCGTTCGGCACGATGTGCTCGAGCCCGAGCCCGCCGCGCGCCCGCCGCCGCACGATGGTGCTGAAGCGGACGTTGGTGGACCCGGGGATGTGAGACGAGCTGAAAGAGAAGAACGAGCGGCAGTCCAGCACGAGGCAGCCGGGCTCGTCCCCGTCCAGCAGCGCCCGAAGGGCGACACAGTCGATGCTGGGAACTTCCATAATGACCATAGTAGGGCGGAGCGCGGGAAGAGACAGGTCTAAGTACATAAAGTTAGGAGATGTAAGTCCGATCGCCGCTCGGGGTTTTGTTCGCCGACAAAAAGTTTTCTGTCTCAGGTAATCGACTAAAAAGTTTGGTGAAAATCCGCGTCGACGATCTTGAAATTCGTCCAAAAGTTTAACGTCCTTCCTTCCCGTTTTCCGTTCTGCCCCCGCTTCTTCAGCGCGCTCTTTTATAGCTCCGTCTCCTCTCAGCGAGGGGGGGGCTGTGACGTCACGCGCCTAACAGTCTGGCAAGCTGCCCGCGTGAATTCGCACGTACGTCATAAGCAGCAAGGGAGACCAAAGCCCGCACTGTAGAGCTTCACACCGCAGTCAGCCTAACCTAATCAATACACTTCATCAAGACGGATCGGTGTTCAGGGTTCACCAATCAGGGAATGATCAGAGGGACCAGAGTGTGTTTTAATAAACACCTATAAATAAATACAATGTAATACCACTACTAATACCACTACCACTGTTCAGCAACAACAAACTACACCTATCCAAAACAACAACAACAAACTATTACTGCTACTATTATTTAACAACAACAGCAAACTACTACTAATACTACTACTACTGTTCAACAACAAACTATTATTCAAAACAAAAACAAACTACTACTAATACTACTACTACTACTGTTCAACAACAACAAAAACAAACTACTATTATTCAAAACAAAAACAAACTACTACTAATACTACTACTACTGTTCAACAACAACAAACTACTATTATTCAAAACAACAACAAACTACTATTATTCAAAACAAAAACAAACTACTACTAATACTACTGCTGTTCAACAACAACAAACTACTATTATTCAAAACAACAACAAACTACTACTAATACTACTACTGTTCAACAACAACAAACTACTATTATTCAAAACAACAAACTACTACTACTACTACTACTACTACTGTTCAACAACAACAACAAACTACTATTATTCAAAACAACAACAAACTACTACTAATACTATTACTACTGTTAAACAACAACAAACTACTATTATTCAAAACAAAAACAAACTACTCCTAATACTACTACTACTGTTCAACAACAACAAGCTACTATTATTCAAATCAACAACAAACTACTATTATTCAAACAACAACAACAAACTACTACTAATACTATTACTACTATTTAACAACAACCTACTTCTAATACTATTACTACTATTTAACAACAAAAACAAACTACTATTATTCAAAACAACAACAAACTACTACTAATACTACTACTATTTAACAACAACAGCAAACTAATACTAATACTACTACTACTATTTAACAACAAACTACTATTATTCAAAACAACTACTACTACTAATACTCCTACTGTTTAATAACAACAGCAAACTACTATTATTCAAAACAACAACAAACTACTACTAATACTACTACTGTTTAACAACAACAAACTACTATTATTCAAAATAACAACAAACTACTACTACTATTTAACAACAACAAACTACTATTATTCACAACAACAATAAACTACTACTAATACTACTACTACTACTACTATTTAACAACAAACTAATTCTAATACTACTGCTGTTCAAAACAAAACAATAGTAATAACAATAATAATGAAATGTATTATTATTATAGACCTAATACTATTTAAAGCAAAGAGAATTAGTCATTTTATACTCAAGTGGTCTATTAGATAAATTCAGTATTCAATATTTCACAATCATAAAATGTTCAGAATTTTACAATGAATATAATCAGAATTACCAGAGTCTTTTTATATAAATGTATACATAAATAGAAAGCAATGTTACTACTACTACTATTCGTAATAATAATAATAATAATAATAATAATAGACCTGATACTATTTGAAAAGAAGCTCTCTGAATTGTTATTTTTATACGTGTGGTCTATGAGATAAATTCAGCAATGTTTGACAATCATAAAATGTTAAGAATTTTACTTTGAATATAATCATAACAAACGTAGGGAGTAACTAGTTAGATATACTCAAATACATGTACTTAAGTAAAATATTGATGGATTTGTATTCTTCAAATCATAAAACCTCTACTCAGTAATATTAGTGAGTAAAGGAATCTACATTTTTACATTTTAGCCGTTCTAATTTAGTTACTAATTCCTTTTTGTGTTTAATTTCAATGTTTTCTTAGTGACAGCATCTGTATTGCTTTATAATTGGTCACATTTCTGACTTTGAAGCTTTAGTATTTTCCTTTAAACCAAAAAAAATCCTGAAAAGAGAAGAATAGCGCCTAACAGACTTCAGTTTGTGTGCCGAGAGATGCTGAAGTTCCACTAAGAGGTTCCACTGCAGTATATGTTATATGCAGTGTATGTTACTCAGTACTGAAGTAGTTTTAAAACATCATACTTTTGTACTTCTACTCAAGTTGTTTTTTTTTGTGGGGAAGGGAAATTTTACTTGAGGCATTATTTCACCCAAATATTAATACGTGTTCTTGAGTTTGGGTGAAGGCTGTTCCACCCACCTCTGAATAATAACAACAAAAGAAATATACAACAAGCAGCAGCAGCAGCAACAACAAGAATAATAATAGACCTAGTGGGTGTTTCACTAAGCAATATTTCTTGGTTAGTCTGACAATTTAGGCCTTAAAAAACAAGCTGCTCCAGGTTTAAGTTATCCAGCTTACTGAGAAATCCTGCTCCTTGAAACACACCCCTAATGCAAATGCTAGTGGAAGAGAAGAGATACAATCTGCGTTCAGCAGTGGTTAAATTCAGTATTCAGTATTTCATAATCATAAAATGTTCAGACCATATAGATCAATACATTTCTGGTTTACTATGTACAGAAAAATAATAACAATAGAAAAATACACCACCAACAACAACAGCAGCAACCACAACAACAGTAATAATTAATAGTAAAAGTAAAGGTAGCATGATGATGATGATGATGATGATGGTTTTTTTATTATTATTATTATTTACTATCATTATTGATCTATTTTAGAGAAAGATGAGAAGATGCTCAGTCTGAGAACTTTCTCCTTAGGCAGCAGTTCAGTATCAGTCGAGGAATTTAACAAATTTTCCATGATGTGATTGTTTGTGGATGTGATCTTTGCTCTCCTCCTTTGATGAGTTCTAACAAATAACAAGATAATTAGTGAATACCTGTCACTGCACTCATAAAAGTTTATACTTTGTTTTTATTGTACAGGCCTATGCAGTGTGCAATGCGGCGAGAGCAAAGGCAAACCATAAAAGTTAATCACTGTATAGAAACTGGAGGTCTGGTAAATTTCCATCAGCTGAAAAACACTACACAGGTTCGGCTGCATGGGATCACAGCGTGGGACCTGCCTGTTTGTTTGTTTATGCCGTTAGACCTGTTTTGGGCTTTAAGAGACTAAAAAATGTGAAGATCTCTGATTAAGAGATTACAGAAAGGATCTTCCTGTAGCTTTGCAGCAGTTTGACCAATCGCTTTAGGTGTCTTTGCATTGCACTCTTGCCCGTCAGGTTTTATCGGGTCATTTGTTGTGTTTCTCAAAACAATGCGGACACGTCTGAAGGTTTGTTTTGTTGTGTAACTTGTCAAGGCAGTCCTCATAACAAGGCCGGCCGCGTTGCCATGGATGTGGTTACGTTAAAACGTGTGGGTTATTTCCTCTTTGTGATGTCTTACTTCTGGGTTAGACCATGTTGAGACATACAGTAGAAGTCAAAAGTTTGGACACATGATTGAACGTATGTTTAATCGTAAAGACTTTCTGATCTAAGGGCTCGTGCTTGAAGGTTTACAGTTTGCTTCTAAGATAGATGTAAATAGGGAGGCTGATGTTTGTGTGTGTATTTATTTTAAAAAGGAACATTTTAAATGAAAAAATTAAAAATTATTGCCATCCAAACGAGTAGTTTCAAGGTTGGGGTGGGCAATATCATGATGTTCATCGTTATTGTGATACATTCCGTCACAATATATTTTTCTAAGCATATTGTGTATATCGGCAGTACTGAAAGAACAGAATTAGGCCTCATTTCATGGATTTAGTGCAGTGTATTATATAGTCGTTGTTGGTACAACACTTTGTATCTCCATTTTTGTCTTTTTGATTACATAATTTGAAAATGGAAGTTGCCTTTTACACTGTTTATGAATTTTATGACAAACAGACCAATAGGAATAATACAAACGACTCTGAATGCTATGTTTTTACACTGAGTTACACTGAAAGTTATGTTCTTTTCGCTCCCCTGTAAAGTTACTTTTTCGAGGATGTGAGATTTTAACTTAAGAAATAATTCATAAATATTGAATATGTTATATTTAAAAAATACTCACATATAAAATATCATATAATATACAAATATAATTAATAAAATAATATATAATATATCCCTGTGATGGACTGCCGACCTGTTCAGGGTGTTTCCTGCCTTTATCCTATTGACTGCTGGGATAAGCTCCAGCTCCCCCCGCAACCCAGAAGAATAAGCAGCTTAGATAGTGTGTGTGTGTATATAATACATACAAATTGTAATATAAAGAAATGGGAAAAATAAATATTGTGATGCATTTTGTGTTTCATGAAGTCTTCAAGTATCGTGATGTTATATTTTTGCTATATCACCCACCTCTTTTTCCACTGTTGTCGACAGAAAACCTTGCATTTCCATTTTTGTCGTTTTTCAGTTTTTGACTTAATTTGAAAAGGCCTTTTGCCCTTTACATTGTATGTAAATTTTATGTTGAATGGACTAAAAGAAACGGCCCAAAATGACTTGGAAAAATGTCTGGTTCCATTGACTTACATTAAAAGTAAAGTAGGTTTTTTCCTTCTCCTGTAAAGCTACCATTCTGGGGATACAAGGTTTTGTTCCAACAACAGCGATATGTGGAACAAGCCTGCTGAAAAATCATCTCAGGTGTCTCTTCATAAAGCTGCTTGACAGAATGCCAAGAGTGTGTAAAACTTTATTAAGACAAAAAGGGCTACTTTGAAGAATTTAAAGTAGAAGATATAATTCCAGACACGTCATTTCATTGTTTTGATAACCTCACTATTATTCTGAAACGTGGAAAACAGTAAAATACAAAGAAAATCCTTGTAATAAGAATATGCATCCAAACTTTTGACTAGTACTGTACCCTGGCTGGTTTCTAATTCATA